AGAACCCAGGTGTCCAGGTCCTCAGCCCACCTTACTCCCAACCCGCAGCCCCACTCCCCTCCCAGGAAAACATAGGTATCGAAGACTTATTTCCCGCCCCCCAACAACCCAGGTGTTCCGGCTCTGACTTATTTTAAACACACCAGGTCCCCATCCAGGAGGAAACCCAGGCATCCAGGCCCCCAAGGCCCCCCTGCAGTAGGGACAGAACCCAGGTGTCCGGGGTCTCAGCTCCCCTCTCTCAGGCCCCAGCCCTCACTCCTCTCCCAGAGAACCCAGGCTTCCTGGCACCCCCAGCCCCACCCCCAGCTCTCGCTTACCCATCACCCCCCTCCCAGAGAACCCAGGTGTCCAGGCTGCCCCCCTGGACCCAACCCAGGAGGGAACCCAGGCATCTGGGCTGCCTCCCCCTCCCCCCACCTGCCCCCTCATACTCCCCAGCAGTACCCCCCAGCCCCACAAACTACCCCCTCTCCCTCACCTGCACCTTAATTGCTGCCCCCATTCCCGCCCCTGCCCAGGCACCTGGTCATTGAGCCAGTTGGGGCCATAGAGGGTCTGCAGGTCATCCATGGTGAGTACGTGGCGCTTGTAGGTGACACGGAAGCCACGCAGCATGGCATTGCCTGGCATGCGCTGGTAAGACTGCATCAGCTGCTGCACCATGCCCTTCCTGCAGGGGGCGCCATGTGAGGGGGCAGCCGGGAACCCAGGTGTCTGGGCTCCTGTCTCCGCCAAGGCCCCAAGACCACCACCCTCAACACCCCCGCCCCCATCCTCCAGCCCCCCAGAGAAGCCACATGTTTGGGCTCCCAGCCCTTCCTGCTCTCACCCCCTCAGCGCCCCCGCCCCGCCCCGCCCCGCGGACCCAGGCAGTACCGCTGGGGCGTGGAGAACTCCTGCTGGAAGATGTCCTCTAGCTTCTCCACCACCTCATCTGAGCTGACAGGGATTAGGCTGCCATAGGCCTGCAGGAACTCATCCAGGATGCCTGTGGGACAGGGGAGGGGGGCAGGGGTGAACCTGGAGCCACCTGCTCCCACCTCTGGGGGGGCAGGGACCCCCTCACCAGGGCCCCAAAAGCAGCTGGCTCTAGGGTGGATCATGGCTGCATATAAACAAACATTTTTTACTTGGTGTGGGGATGTAGCCAGCTCTGGGGTGGATCGCAGCTGAGTGTAACAAGAGACTCACCGCAGAGATGCAACCAGTTCTGGGGTTCAGGGCTGCATACAACAGGGACCCCTCACCTAAGCCTGAAAAGCAGCCAGCTCTGAGGTGGGGTCAGTTGGGTAAACAAGGACCTGGCACTAAAATGTAGCCAGCTCTGGAGTGGGGCATAGGTGCATAAAACAAGGACCCCTTGTTTGGTATAGAGATGCAATCAGTTCTGGAATAGATCATGGCTGCATATAACAGGTACCCCTCACGCAGTGCAGAGATGCAGCCATATCTGGGGTAGCACTTCAGAGAATATAACAAGAACCCCCTGCCTGGTACTGAAATACAGCCAGCTCTGGGGTGGGGCACAGATGCATAACAGGGACCCCTCGCCTAGGCCTGAAAAGCAGCCAACTCTGGGGTGAGGGCAGCTGGGTATAATAGGACATGGCACCAAGATGCAACCTGCTCTGCAGTTAATCCCAGCTGAGTATAACAGGGGACCTGGGGCTGAGGTGCATCAGGGTTGCACATAACAGGGACTTCCCAGAGACGTAACTAGCCCTGGGGTGGAGCAGAGCTGCATAACAGGGACTCAGTGCTGAAAGGCAGCCAGCTCTGGGGTGGCTCCTGCTTGCATTAATGCTCTCAAAACTCCTAGTGACACCCCCAACCCCGTGCCCTCTTACTCTGGACGCAGGTGACGTGCTCCTCACGCAGGGGGCTGTGCTGGGGGGCGCGGTCAGCAGGGGGGGAGGCACGGGTGGGCAGGGGGCCAGTGGTGTCGGGGGGGGCCCCAAACAGCTCCTCGGCCCCGATGCTGCACACGTTGGAGATGAGGATGC